TAGAAATCACCCCAATGAGAATGTGTGTGTGTGTGTGTGTTGTTTTTTTCCTCTGTCGTAGGAGCAACTTCAGAAGCTGGAGGTGGAATTGAGAGAAGTGACCAAAAACAAGGAGAAGTTGAGAAAAAACCTTTTGGAGCTGATAGAATACACCCACTTGCTGAAGGTCACGCAGTCCTTTGCCCAAAGATCTACCGAGGTACTTATTTTACTGACTTTAAAAATATGTAAGGTATCTTAAACAAGTGACTGGACAGCAGATGTCATAAACAAGAACAATCACGAACAAGAAATACCTTGTTTCCAGTCTCCCCCGCCCCCCCTGCTGCTTCCCTCTGTTTTCCCTTTTGACGTAAACATTTCACGGTCTTTATTTTAGCTCGAGTCCTCAATACAGAGCACTTTCGAAGAATTCCCATCTTTCGATCATGTTCCTTTGGTGGAGTATAACTGCATGCACAGACTGGAGGCCAAACTCGGGTAAGGAACCAAACTGGGTCGGTGAATAGCCATGGAAAGCATCTTGAACCTTGTTTTATAGAGGCAGCCTTAGCAAATGCCGGGGACAATGAATTCATTAATTGCATAGAAAGTTGGGTTGTTTTGAAGCATCCAGTGGTGTAGCAGTGAAGCATAACTGTGACTCCGTAGGTAACGTGAATCATTTTTCTCACCTTTCCCTGTACTGGCGAGATTATTTTAAATGGCACTTCTCCCCCCCCCCCTTTTTTTTTCAATCTAGATTTATATCTGGCTTAGTTCACCGAGCAAAAGTGGAAGCGTTTGAAAAAATGCTGTGGCGGGTGTGCCGAGGAAACACAATTGTTTCTTACTCTGAGGTGGAAGACTGCTTGGAGGACCCTGATACAGTGAGTAAGACAGCTGGGTTGAGAAAAGGCAGCTGAGCCCTGTCCATCAAAAGCTGACGACAGCCATTCTGATTTGTTTTGCAGGGAGAGTTGACCAAGTGGTTTGTGTTCTTAATATCCTACTGGGGGGAACAAATTGGCCAAAAGGTGAAGAAAATATGTGACTGGTAAGGACAAACCAACTTTCTCCATCCCACTTTTTCCCCCACTTCATATTTTTTAAGACAGTGCTCTGAAAAGTAAAGTTACAGGCAGGAAGGAAGTTGTTCAAAATGCATTTAAAAAAACTCCTTGGTGGAATCTGTGGACATGTGAAGGTGAAGCCTAAACATGATTTACCCAAACGTTTGTTGGGCGATAAAGGTAGTCCTTGACTAACGACCACAATCAAGACCAACCTTTTGGTTGCTAAGTGAGAGAGACGTTAAGTGAAG